GGAGGGAGGGAGGGAGGGGAGACTGAGGGGCCCAGCATGAGGATGGAGGATGGATTTAGAATAACTGGGGAAGTGAGGGAGAGAAGAGAGAAAAAAGCATATTCAGGAGTTACTCCAGACTTACACAGAGCAAAGCTATCTAATGAAGAGAGATTTCTAAAACTAACTTCAGAATGACATGTTTATTGTATTTTCAAAGTGGGAACAAACATTTTGATACATCTAATGAGACACTGTGACTTATTTTAATGTACTTTAATTAATGTTATGATGAAAGGTCTGAGTTGATGCTGAAAGTGAAGGCTCCTTTCTAGCAATTCCTCCATATGTCCTCTTCCTCCCTCTTTCTGTTTATTATGAAAAAGGACATAGAAAATAGAAAAGGCTAACTTAGAGTTCACACATATCAACATCTCTGCACTATAAGCCCTGATACAAATATTGAATGCCCACACTCAGCATTTCAGATAATGTGAAGAATTCAGAGTCTCACAATATGTTGAACAGTGTAATTTAGACAATTGAAAGTGAAAGCAAGATATCCATCCTCCCGTCTACCTGGATGGATCCACACTCAAGATGCATGTTTCTCTCATTCCCATACATATTTTTCAGACATTTATCTCTGTAAAGCTATTTCCATCTCTTATATTTCAGATGCTCATCATTTATGAATCCTTTAAGTAAAAACAATTCTTTATTTTGCTCATCTATCCATTAAATGAAATGGAATAAACACCCACCTTGCTCCAATTTGCCTTACTCTCTCCATTTTCATGCTGAAGGATGAGCAGGTGATGTCCTGTATTTACCTACAGAATGAAAGGTGACAACAGATCATAGAGTCTCTTCCATCATTTACCACCAGACTACCTACTACATCATCACCCCAGGGAAACTGCCAGTGCTTCGGCTGAGGAAGCCGTGTCCTATTTTAACGATAGAAATATAAAATAGCTATTAAGAGCTTCCTCCTTTTCAAATCAACCAGCCTCCCTGGACCTAAGAGTTGAAAGAGGCTCAGAAATTTGAACAGAGATGTGCAGTTTAAAAGAGAAATGTAGACAGTTAAATGTCCTCATCAAATTAAGAATTATATGGGGATTAGAAATATTTGGGTCAGGAGTTTCACTGGTTTTGACAGATCTCATTCATTGTGCTGTAGAACAAAATGTATAATCCTCGCCATCATATTTGGAAGTT